GAGGAGGCCGAGGAGGAGGAGGAGGGGGCGGAGGAGGAGGAGGAAGGAGGAAGGAGAGGAGTGAGTAGGGGGAGGGGAGGGAGGGGGGAGGGAGGGGGAGGGGAGGAGGAGGAGGAGGAGGAGGGAGGAAGGAGGAGGAGGAGGAGGAGAGGAGGAGGAGGAGGAGGAGCAGGAGGAGGAGGAGGAGGAGGAGGAGGAGAGGACGGAGGGAGAAGTGCAGGGCCCTCCCAGGCCTCCTCGGGCTCGGAGGGCCCGTGCACGTCGCCCGCCGCCGCCGCCGCCTCGGCGTCCCGGGCCTCGGCCTCCGCACGGGAGGCAGCCTCCCTGTCGACCTCTTCTGGGACGGGCGGCGGCACGCGCACGAGGGAGGAGGTCACCACCCACCAAACCACCCCAACCCAACCCGAAGGCTCAAATTTACCCCCGATTTCCAGTGTGGGGGGGGGTCGGGAAACATCGATATAACACATGTGGAACCCTTACCCCCCCCAACCCGAAATTCGGGTCTTCGGGTTGGGTTGGGGTGGTCTGGTAGGTAGTCAGAGCGGCCGCGGCGGCGGCAGGAGCGGCAGGCGACGGCGGCACAGGAGGAGAAGGAGGACTGCAGGCATTTTCATCTTCTCACTTCGGGGTCACCTCTGTCCCTCTGCTTGTTTCTCGCGAAGGCGGGTGCCTTCACGAACTCCATGTCTAGGTCCAGCCTGGCGTACAATGTCGGTGGTTTTGCCCACAAGATTCACCTGTTTCCTGCGGCCGTGATTGCATTTCTCGTTGTTCCCATGGGGACATATGTGTGCATGTAGTGTGGGCAGTCTGATAGAGACCAGTCGTGTCGGGGCCCGTCGTACTTCAGAGGCTGGCAGATCTTGGAATACGCACTGGTCAACATCTGTGGTGGCCGAGATGGGAGATGATGCGAGCGCGCGGAGCGGGCCCCACATGAAGGAAGTGGGTGCTTGCTGACGCCAAACTGCCGGCCGCGGATGCTCCATCCACCCATCTGTTCTTGCCGAGAGGCTGTCACCTAGAAGCTGCACAAGCGCAAACAAAAGTTGGTTGCTTGTCTCCAATTGTTCCTGCTGCCTCGTCGTAGCCCACGGCGCACCCCAAATGTATTGGTTCGTACGTAGTGGTGGCCCCCCCTTCCAACCAACGAGCAGCACACCATGTTTCGCACGGGGGGGCCCCTTCAGTGTTCCATACTCTGTGAGCCCTGATGTGTCCCCTCCATTCGTTCATTGCTTGGCGCCTTGTAAGATCCCCTTTACATTGATGTATGGCTATGCCCACTGAGCATTGTGATCTGGCAACCTGGGAGGATGACCTCCGCCTCGATATGGGACTGTACGTCTCCTGATCTCCGCATGCCAGAACAAAAACGTGGAATATGAACATCTCCGCTCTGTGTATTCGCACCGGGATCGCCTCTTTGGCCATCTCCTGGAAGTCCTGGGGCCTGTAGATATAGTATCGGTCTTGGAACGGCCTGTCACCGGCATCATCTTCTTGGTCCCTTGAGGCTCTGTTGGTGGCTACAGGGGCATCTTGATATAGGATCGTCCTGTCTTCGTCGGTGAGCTCGTAGAGGGAGTCCCTAAGTACAGCTCTGGCATCTTCTTCCGATAGGGATGCGAACACCCAATTGGAGTCCCATATGATGCCTTCGGGAGGTACATGTGTTGTAGATGGGAAGGCTGATCTCCATCGCCCAAATCCAGCCGTTCTTTGAGCTAGCATCTCCGCTACATCCTCCTGGGCCCATGCCCTTGCAATCGTGGGCCCTGTGCATACAATACGTCAACCAGCAACGCGCCGAGTCGAATGCGAGATGGTCTTTGACCTGCCTTCTCTGCGAAAAATAAGTGGCGCACGCTCTGCATGTGGAAAATGGCCCCATGATCAGCTCAACGTGCTTGACGAATGCATGATGCTGCTGTACGATGTCCTGAAGCATAGCTGGCCCTCTTGAGGAACCTCTTGTGGCACCAGGGACTCAGAGCTGCTCCTATCCTCTCGATCTGCCTGTCGCAACGGATGGTCGGGATGTGTGATGGGCAAGGGCATTCCGCATGGCGTGACGCTGTCGAACAAACATGTTTCTGCTGCTGTTGCTGCAATGGCGAGGCGCCTAGACGCAGCGGCGCGGAATGGTCTGCGCACGTCGGAGTGGTTGCCTCCATGATCGCAGTGACCCGCATACAAGAGCCTCCCAGGAACTTAAACTCCTGGCCCAAGCCAGAGGTAAAGACCAGCCGGCCGCGCGAAGAGGAACGAGAAGGGAGAAGAGGAACAAGGGGAAGGCAGAAGGGGCGAGTCGGACAGCATTCGCACTCGCCGATGCGCGTCTTCATGTACAGTCATTGTGTCCGCTCCCATCATCTCCTTCCCCCGCAAAAAACATAGCCTCCCAGGGACCAACATCCGAATTGGGATCTGGCAGACCCTCTAACTCCTTGATTACGCTTTTTAGCCAGGCTAGGTCATTGAAGACCTCTCTAAGCCAGGAGGTGGGGGAGGAGTGGTAGGCCATGGCCACTCGGCCTTTGGGTACTTCCGAACCGTCGCGGAGTAGTCTTCCGAAAACTCGTAACCTCTGTACCCGCAGCTGTGTCTGCACATCTGCACGTCGGGCAGCTGCCAGAACCAGTGAACCACTTTCTGAATTGCAATCATATTTGGCCATGCGTGCTGCTGAACGGTACTCTGTGCGAGCATTGTTGCACAAGGAGCGTTTCTGCGCTTCTGTCATGCCATGCCACGTGCCAGCGTTAAAAAGCTTGGAGGATGCAATGAGCGGGTCAAGGAGCTGCATCGTGATTTTTACATCTGGAGCATTGCCCCCCATGGATGGGAAAGCCTTGCGCCGAAGTTGGTGTCATGATGACGCGCATGCTCGGCGTCTTGTGGGCCAGCCTTGGGCCCAAGGAGGCCGTCTAGTCCAGGATAGTGCCCAGATGGGGGTATTGGCGGACTGCGTGTAGCTGCGTGTTGCCCAATATTTGTGTATCTGGCCCAGTGATACCCCCATATCTTTTCATAGACGTATGTTTGTTTTGGCTGACCCTGGCCTTCGGAGTTGAAAGACACATTCCGATGTACCCTTCTTCATGTTGAGTTGGAGTCTCCCTTCCGTGAAGACTGTGATCACCGTGCTGATCACGTTTGGCGCGGTGTTCAAAAGTTCTTGCGCCTTGCCGAGGATGACGAACGCGCCGTCATCAAATAAGCATGTGTCGATGGCCTGGACAGCCCTGTCGTTGCCTGCCGCAAGAGTAGCACATAGTGATATGTCACCTGCTGCGGGTACGTCCAGGAGGTATCCCTTGGCTGTAAGATGTGCCACTGCCGCATTCACACACTCTGCCGTCACAAAGTTGAAGACTACATCCCCCAACTGTTGTCTCGGTACCGACCCTAGCACAGGAAATGCTAGATTTGAGGCCCCCGCGTAGTAGGACCAGGACCTGTGGTATGCAATAGCCGTAAGTGCATGTGCAGGTCTAGGGACCCCAGCACGAACCAATGACTGTGTAGGTTGAGCTAGCTTAGCTTGTATTCAAGGGCATAACAAAACGCCCCTACCCTAGTTTACGAGGCGCTGTGCGCTGAAACTCCTGTGGGCTGACAGGGTAAACCCTGCGTGGCGTGCCGCGTCCTGGCGGCTCTAGGCTTTGGGGGTGCCAGGAGGTTTACAGACCACGCACTTGTAAGCCAGGGTAGGGTCGTTGTTTCATCCCTCAATGTATGGTTTGCATGGCGGCAGGCGGCAGGCGAGCAGCCTCGAGTACCATCGCCATGTCCTCCACGGTGTGTGAGGATGCCACTGCCAGCTGTCGGATGGCCCCGTGAAAGGCTACCTCCCTCCGTTGGGGAGGGAGAAGGGAGGAGGCACGAGGGAGGAGCCAGGAACCAGGAGGGAGGAGGGAGCAGGGAGGCGGGAGCTCTTCCTCCTTCCCGTCCGCTGCGCGCCCTCCTCCTCCTCCCACCGTCCTGCCCCGCCCCTCCTCGCCTTTCTCCTCGCCCCCCGTCCTCCCCGCAAGAACGGCCCTACTTTGCGCCCCTCTGCGGCACCTTTCGGCCCCGAGGCCCTTGTGACACGACCGCGTCGGCACAGTGTGCACGAGTAACAATGCGTTCCTCGTCACCTCCTCCGCGGCCAGTGCTTACACCTCTCCTCCTCCACCTCCTCCTCCTATCTCTCTCCCGTCTGCTTCGTCGTTGCCCACTTGTCCTCTACCCTTTCTCCTCCTCATCCTCCCTCGCTGCTCCTCCTGCTCATCTTGCCCCCATTTTCTTGTCCATCATCCGTCGGCAACGTCGTCCTCCCTTCTTCCTTCTCGTTCTCATCCTTCACCGCGTCCTTCATGTACCCATGTATCAATGTACTCTCTCCTCGCTTTTATTGCCTTCATTTTTTCGCTTGGGTTTTTGTTTCGAAAAGCACTGCGATCGCGACTCCACTTGGTCGGTTTCGGGTCCATCCTCTCCCGTCCTCGCCTCCCTCACTCCCGTTTTCTTTTCACTGTTTACTCTATGAGAAGGAGGAGGAGGAGGACGAGGAGGAGGAGAAGGAAGAGGAGGAGGAGGAGGAGGAGGAGGAGGAGGAGACGTAGAGTGAGGGGCGGGGTGGGAGTAAAGGGGAAAAGGGTCAGGAAGACCTTCCCTTCGCCACAGTGGCGCGACGCGATGATCCGCAGAAGGCGCCTAGGCACCATCATTATGCCTGGCCTGGCGCCATCCTGGGACTCAGGACGGTGCAAGGACCTCCGTGACCTCGGCCGGGAGGATGCACGCACCATGCTAGGGCCCAGGAGGGCTCTGGCCAGCACATTAGTGGCGTACCCTGGGACCCGACGTTGCAATAATAATGCAACATAGCGAACCATCACGACCAGAGCCCCAGATTCCATCTCTCTGCTACAATTTTCGGGGTTCTATCGGGCGAATACGCACAGCGTAGACAAACAGCGAAACAGCGGCAGGAGACGACGTCTGCGTGGATGGAGTGCCAGCGCGCGGAGTTCCGGGAGGAGGCCGAGCTTGAGCGCACGCAGAGCCAGGCAGAGCTGCGGCTGTGCCAGGAGCGGCGGCGGTGGCGGCGACAGCGACGACCCGGCAGAATAGACATTTAACTCCCCACACAGTGCTTGCACGTAGGGGTTCTCATGTTGCTTCTCAGGAGCTGGCTGGGTCCGTGTGCGGCCCAGGTGACTCCGTTCCCGTCCGTCGCCGTTTTATTTTACCCAATGAACTCTTTGTGCGGCCTCGACGGCACCGTTCCCGCCCGTCGCCGCCACCCCGTTGAAGCCCCCTCTCCCCGGTGCATTGCAATAGCATTGCAATGCAATCGCATTGCATGGCATTGCAATCGCTTTGCATTCCATTACTTTGCATTGCCCTGCATTGCTTTGCGTTACCTTGCACTGCAGCATCATCTTGCATCACCTTGCATTTTTTGCATTGTTTTCTATTGCTTTTCGTTGCTCTGCATTGTTTTAGATTGCGCTGTCGTGCTTAGCATGGCTTTGCATTGCCTTGCCCTGCATTGCTTGGCATCACATAGATTGCACCACGTTAGTTGTATCACATCTACTGCACCTCATTGATTGCAGCATCTAGGTTGCACCGCGTAGACTGCGAGAAACCATTGCTTGGAATCACATTATTGAACATGCATTTTCGATGCTGCGCGCGGAGTTCTTGTTCTGGGCTGGGCCCACATGGCGCCGCCTCTGGCGCCGACCCTGCCGCGTTCCGCGCGGCAAGGGGGGGGGGGGGGGGCAGCGCCGGTCCAAGAGTTCCGCGCGGACCCTCAGCAGTTTTTCTCGTGGCGCTGCGCTGTTCTTCTAGTCTCAGGAGGGAAAGAAACACACAGACACAATTAATCGTCGATCCCCAGGAAAATATGCGAAAATATGGGAAGTGGTGGGGAAGACAAAAAACCAGAAAATATGGGAAAATATGGGGAATCTTTTTATTTGTGTGTATTTATGTGTGTGTCCTGGGGCCCCTTTATAGTCCTCCCCCTCCCTCCTCCGTCACCTCCGACCTCGCCCTCCGTCCTCCGCCCCCCTCCTCCCTCCTCCCTCCTCCCGGAGCGGGCACGCGCGAAGCCCCTCGGCTGACAACAACCTCCCTCCTCTGCCCTGCCGTTGTCTCGCGTGGCGCGGCGGCCGAGCGCCGTCCGCTCCGTGACCAGGCGGCGGCTGCCTCGGGCTCGCAGTCCAGAAGTCCCGCCTTTGTCTCCCCCTTCCGGGCCCATTTCGATCCGATCGATCCGACTTGATAACCCCCGGCTCAGGATAATCAATTCAACTTCCCCCCTCCTCCTCCTCCTCCTCCTCCTCCTCCTCCTCCTCCCTCCTCCTCCTCCTCCTCCTCCTCCTCCTCCTCCTCCCTCCTCCTCGTCTTTCCTCCTCCTCCTCCTCCTCCTCCTCGTACTGAATGTTGATTTTATCTTCAGCCAATGCAGTTTTGGGCAGGGAAGGGAGGCGGCAAGACCGAACTCTTTTTTTATCGCGTGGGGAAGTTGCGGACCGAAGTTGCTCTCTTCTGATATTGAGCAACAAGGACTCCGAAGGATCCCGATTGATTTCCTCCGGATTGTGTGGATGTCCTAGTGAATTCTATTGATGTTCTACGGATGCCCGGAGGAATGCTATGAGTGTCATACGGAATCCTAAGGCAATCCGATGGAATTCATGAGGAATCTTGCGCGTTTCCTACGGAAACTTATGGGCCTCTTCAGGAATTTGACATAGACTGCCTCAGGAAACCAATGAGATTCCTGCAGCATCTATAGGGATCCTGTTGGGAATCCATATGGTTCCTTCGGAAATCCGTAGGATTCCTTATGAAATCCATGGGGTCCCTAGGACATCCATCGGGTTCCTTAGGAAACCCGTGGTATTCATTCGGCCATCCGAGCGATTCCGGACAAATCCATACGATTCCGCGGGACATCCATCGGATCCCTCAGGACAACCTATAGGCAACTACCCGAAATCCATCGGGTCCCTAAGACAAATCCATAGGATGCTTGAGGCCATACATCTTTTATATATATGTATATATATGTATGTAGGAATCCGTAGGACATCGATGCCACTTCTTAGGAAATCTATTAGAAGCCTTCGGAACTCAGTCGGATTCCTTTTGGGAAATCCAGAGGGTTCCTTCAGACATCCATTTGATTCCTTAGGATATCCATCGGAGTTCTGAAGAAATCCATAATATTCCTGGGGCATCCATCGGATCCCTTAGGACAACCTATAGGAATCCTTAGGCAATCCTTTGGATTCCTTGGGAAATCCATGGATTCATGGGGACATCCATTGGAATCAATAAGAATTCCATAGGAGTCCTAAGGACCTCCATAGGCTTGCTGGGGAACTTCATACGCTTCCGCAGTGAATGTATGGGATTCGTTTGGACATCCATCGCATTCCTTAGGGCATTCGTTAGATCTCTTGGGACATCCATTGGATTCCTTAAAGCATCAATCGGTTTCATTCGGAAGCCCATTGGATTTCGAAGGAAATCCTTGGGAATCCTTAGGACTGTGAGCCCTTAGTGCCTCCACAGGAGTCATTCGTAATTTTTCAGGATTCCTTGAGGCATCCATAGGATTCGGGAGGAAACCCATCGGAGTCCTTTGGAAATCCATAGGGTTCCCGAGGAAATCCGTATGACTCCTGGCAATCTATAACGATTCTCAGGACATCCCTAGGATCCCGAAGGGAATCCATATGAGTTCTGGGCAATCCACACGATTCCTCAGGACAGCCATAGGATTACAGAGGCTTTTTTTAGGAGTCCTCAAAATAGCCATAGGACTCCTTAGGCAGTCCAAAGGAGTCCTTAGGACATCCATGGGAGTCCTGAGGACATCCATCGGATTCCGTACACAATCTATAGGAATACCAAGGACATCCATAGGAATCCGTGCGGCATCCATAGTATTGCTCGGGACATCCGTGGGATTCCGTAGGACAGCAATCGAATTCTTGAGGAAATACATGAGATCCCGTAGGCAATCCTTAGGTTGCCTTGGGAACTTTATAGGACTCCTTCCGGACATCCGGATGGTAAATCGTAAGGAACCCGGTTGGTTGTTTTGAAAACGCTGGAAAATGCATGTCCGCTTCAAAAGCCTATCTGTCACCAGTAAGTTTCCCGGCCAACTTGTGGACTGTTGGATTCCAGAACACAGCAACCAATCGGTCAGCATTAAGAGTCCACTGTTGTCCCAGGCCAACATGGCGACTTTTTCATTGTAGGTAATTCAGATATCGCCACGCGCGCGCACGCGCGAACGCACGCGTGGCGAGTTTTGGGTTTTCTACAATGGACAAATCCCCACGTTGGCCGGGAAATGAAAGTGATCCCTGAACTGTGACCCGCGGGATTTCGGGTGACACGCCCGCTTGCGTGTCACCCGATGGCGCGTGCGCGCGCGCGGGCTCGTGCGTTGCAAATTTTCCAGTGTCCACAATGGAACAGTTTCCATGCTCGTCTGGAAACCAAAGTGAACCCTTAGCGGCGACCGATTGTATTTTGAAAATAACGTTGTGTTTCCGACTATTTCTGCAGAGCCCATTCGATGCGCATGTATTTCCGAACGGATCATTTGGATTGACAACGGGATCTTATGGGGCCCCTCTGGACGCCTATGAATTTTCGCAAGGATCCGAATGTCATTCTGTAAAAATCCGATGGGCCGCAGTAAGAATCCCGTCGATTCCCCGAGGCATCAGATAGTATGGCATCCCGGAGGAATCCGGTGGATGTCCGGGATAGTCCGGTCGATTTTCTTTGGAACCAGATGGATTTCCGACGGAATCTTGTGGATGTCCTGAGGATTCCTAAGGATGTCTCAGGGAATCCGATGGATATCCCACGGAATCCTATGGCTGTCCTCCGGAATCTTATGCGCTTCCAAAGGCGTCTTCTGGATTTCCGGGGGAATCTTGTGGATTGCCTGCGGAATCTTATGGAGTTCCCAGGGGTACTGCAGATTTCCGAAGGGACCCTATGGTTGTCCTGAGGAATCCTATGAATTGCCGAAAGAATCCGATGGGCGTCCAAAATAATCCGCGAGATTCACTGACGAATCCGATTTTATTCGGAAGCCGATGGTTTCCTGAAGGGTACCCGGTAGATTCCCTAAGCGTTCCGATGGATTCCCGAATGGCTCCGTTGGGTGACCCAAGGAATCGCATAGATTTCCTGAGGTGCATCATAGGCGCACTAATCAATCTGATGCGTTTCCAAAGGATTCCCCGGGGAATCCCGTGGAGGTCCGACGGAATTCTGGGGGGATTCTTGCAGATTGCCCAAGGAATCGCATGGATTTCAACTGGATTTTTTCGGGTTTCCGATGGGGTCACACGGGCCCTGAGGCCCCCGCATTTGCGCGCCATCCCGAGGGCGGCTGGCGGCGCGCTCGAGGACAAGAGCGCGTTCTGGGCATTGAAAGAGCTCGCAGTCGTGCGAGCTGCGTCAGTGCCTTGCGCGTTGGCCCAGCACTGGCGCATCTCGGCGATGGGCGCTTTGTCGCGGATGAAGCCGAGTTTCTCGATGATCTCTTCGTTTTGGCTGGCTGCCTTCGAGGAGATTTCGAAAGTCTTGAGCTGGGGGGCCTCGGGCCCGGGCGCCGCGGTTGCCCGCTCGATGCGATCGAAAAGCCCGAGCTGCAAGTGGCGCTCGGCAAGCGACGCTCGGGCGATGCTCGCGAGCCCCGAACGGCGTCGGAAGGGGGGGGCTCGGAGAGGAGAGGGCCCCGTGGAGATACCTACGGGGCCGCGAATGGCGCGAGGAGCGCGCTTGGCAATGCTCAGCCCTGGCGACGCGCCTGGCGGCGCGAAGCCCCGGCGACGCACTCGGCAATGCGCGGCCCTGGCGACGCGCTTGAGCGGCGCCGGATTCCATCGACAATCCACATGATTTCTCGCGGCCTCCATCGGCGCCTTTTGTAAATCCAAAGGATTCCGCTGGACGTCCCTGAGGTGTCCTAGGAAGGTATCGATACACACACCATGAAGAATGTCATTGCGTATCTTAGGACATCAGTCGGGTTCTT